TATTTGATAGATCAAAAACTATGTTTAGGGTCATAAAGAGGAAAAAAAAATCTTGACCACAGATTACACTCAGTATAAGAATGTGCTACAACTGCCTGGGCTGCCAGGATAAAACATGAGAGTCACACAACAATCTATCACAAGTTTAAGAACTAATATTGGGCCTACAGATCACAATTAGTTTGAGTTGAAATGAAAAAGCAGAAAACAGCGAAAATAAATATCTGGAGTGAGCTGAATGAAAAAAAAAGAGTAAGCCTCTCCATCCCAACTATAGCCATCAGGCTCAATCTTCAGTGATCTTATGCCATCACAGTTCTAATGTACAGTGTTCCTGTGATACTGGGGTTTCTACAGTTGGAAACGTCTGAAATCTCTCAGCACTGAAAGGCTATACAAAGCCTCTGTTAATTGTATTAGGTCTTAAGACAAATTATTGTTTTAATTAACAATTAATTAATTAATTAATGCAAGCAAGAATATACCAACTGAATCATACTAGCAAAACAATGGTGAGCAGTTCACAAGGAATTCTTAACCTGTTCCCAAAAGCATTTTATCCAAAGTCTGGCCCCCAGATGTCCATAATCATACATACTGACAGCAAACCATAAGGATTGACCTATCACACAAAATGCAGATATTCTTATGAGTCAAAGGTTAAAAAACAATAAATGCAACAACAGACTTAGTACATAAATCAAGCCAGGCAGAAATAAAAAATGTGGTGGACAAACTCCCTGCTAAAATCTCAGAAATGCTCTCATCTATGAAAAAGCTTCCCCTGCCCCCCACCTTTCCATCACCCATATATAGAACTTAGATATGAATTCAGAGGCCTGCAGCCACATTCTTAAGAGCATATTAACGTGGGATGGGAGGGGGGTATTGTTTTTTGTTTGTATATAGTTTTTTTTAATTTTTGTAAGCTGCCCAGAATCACTGACAGTGACAGGGGAGGTGTATAAATTTTCTTAAATAAATATGGCTATGAGGAACAGCTTTCTGCCTACTCTTGACATGGCAGGTAAGCCTAAATTCATCTCAGCAAGGAGACTGGTTGTGCTGCTCCTGCACTGAATGTAATCTTGGTAATGTCAAGGTGGGAATTAGTGACATAACATATCCTCTCTCCTAGATGGAAAATCAAACACTAGTCTCTGTCATGAGCATATGAATGGGGCTGGGGAATTCCATGCATTTTTACTTCTACATTCACAAGATTACATATGCTCTAGCTCAGTGATGGTGAACCTTTTCCGCACCGAGTGCCCAAACTGAAACGTGTGCGCATGCATGTGCATGTGCTGGAGCACCGGAAACCTGAAGACCAGCTGGCCAGTGCATGCATGCCTGTTTTTTTGGCCATTGTTTGGCCATTTCTCAGGCCAAAAACAGCCTGGAAGCAGCGCAGAAAAGAACCCAGAAAATAGCCTGAAAACGGCCCAAAAACTGCCTGAAAAATGCCCTAGTTTTTGGTAGTTTTTTCCGGTGCTTTAGCGTCCGCAAAGACCAGCTGACCAGCGCCAGAAACCAGAAGAGCAGCTGGCAAAAGCACGTGTTCCGACAGAGGGGCTCTGTATGCCACTTCTGGCATATGTGCCACAGATATCACCAACACGGCTCTAGCTAGTCAGCTAGAACGTTTTTTGTGTTTGCTTTATGACAGTTCAGGAGCAATATTTATTACTGCCACAAATTATCAATTAATCAGACTCCTAAAAGACTGATATTAATATTCCCTTCACATAAATAGCTTCTATTTGAAAAAGCTGCTAGATAGCCCACACAAAGTTGGCTTCAATTCTTTCTTGTCTTTGGTGCTGAATTATTTCAACAGCTTTATGGTTGGCTTGTCCTGGCTCATCCCTATTCAGATCCTTCTCATTTAGCAACTGCCTCATTTAATGACCATCTGCAGTTATATTAGTGGTGAAAAATGTTACAACCAATCTGTATATTTATGACCTCCACCTGTAAAGCAAAGGAAAGCTGAAGTAAGATCTTAAACATAATCACAATTTCACTAAATTACCACTTCCATTAATGATCAAATTGCTAGTCCCAATTGTGGTCACTAAACAAGAACTATCTATACTTTAGCCATCCATCTTGCTGTCTCTTAATTTTCTGTGCCATGAGCTTGATGATTTCTTAGAGGAGACCTTCCATAAGCTCATGCCAATCCATCCAGGCTTTTTTTCGCCACCAAGTCTGGTCTTAATGGCACCACAACTCATGATCAATTTTTATTTCCATTGCCTCAAATTTATGTGCTGTTCTGTTCTAGTGAGTCTTTGTGCTTTGCTCTGAACCCGATTTAGAACCCTTTATAACAAGTTGTTTGTGTGGTGCTAGGCACTCTCAAGCGGAAAGACTCGGGACCATACATTAAGTTCCAATTAAGAAGATTTATTGCACAAGCCTAAACTAGGAATCTAGTTATTTAACAGTTAGCACTAAATTGGCACCAAATAAGAGTCAACAGAATTCAAAGGGGGATGGACTTGGAGCATTTTCAGATACATAACGATTCTGGTTAGAAGCCTCTTCAGACTTCTACTCTGGAATCTGTGTCTTCTTCTCCTACTGATACTCAAATATTTAAAACTGCAATTCTTCAATCTTGAATCAGGGGCTGAAAATGATTATTACAATGATCTTTAAATTTTCCAGCCATGAGAAGTTAAAAAAATTATGCGATTTCCAGCCCCAGAAGAAAATAATTGCCATAATGGAAGTTATCACTTATGCATCACAAAGAAGGGCCATCATTCCTTGAGATTAACAATGATAACTTTTGCAATTTATTGAAGTTTGTTTCATGACAAAAAAAAATCCTATATTGAAAGGATTTATAGAATTCTTCACATACTTTCAACATTACAGGACCTATGTGACTTCATCCAATTAAATGAATAATGTGTATATGTACAATGAATCATTGGAATTCTTTATTTCAGTTCAGTATAAATTTCTTTAAAAATTGTATAAAATTCCTGATCAGTTACTATGGGTTTATGGAACAATGGGAGCTATCTAGATAAAAGATTTGCAGTGATTCAACACCAATATATAAGACAATGAACATTTATACTGTTTAATTGAAGCAATAAAAGGATTAATATTCCTAATTCAATGTCTATATCAATATCACCATATCACAATAACATAAGAATACACAGCACTAAATTTTATAAAGTTTATAGTGCTCTGGGTTGTATCCAGAATGATTGAAATCCTTCGCCATTTGTCTAAGAGTTTATCACATTGAAATTGGAAGGTTTTGCATTTGAGTAGGCATAAATAGGCTTAGAACTAGATCAGACAGAAGTCAACATGAAAGTTTATCTATAGAGATCCAATTGTTTCTAATGTAGCTCATGCACAATTTAGTCTGGATCTAATCTTGCCATTTTAAGGCAAATTCTGTTAATATGAACAAGTATTTTCCCCCACTCCAGAGCACTTTCTAACAAAAAAAGAAATGTTACTGCTTTAGATATTTTATATCCTTCTTATATTGTTTAATCCTTCTTATACTGTTTACATCCTTCTTATATTGTTTAAAAAATTAAGTTATCCATGCCTTGTTTCTGTAACTGTAAGAATTTAGCTGTTACATCCTGCCTCTAGGCCTATATTTTTTTGGCTAAAACATTAAATGCATAGGAGGTGCTTCAGGATATGCTTGAAATGAAATTCCATATTAAAAGAATCTTTGTAATTAAGGTCAGTAATTATTTTCTAGAAAAAAATAAAAAAGTGACAATATACAACACTACTAAAAATACTGAAGAAATAATTAGGCCAATTTTGTATGCAATCTTGTTAAAATTAACTCAGATGTTCTTTCCAAAAAACATCCTGCTATATTATACTCCTTCCCCCTAGCATTTCCATATTCAAACTCTTTTTAAATTTATTCTCTTAAGGAACAGGGCTTAATAAAATGAAATTATTCTTCAATAGTTCTTTAGCAGAGCTGATACATAGTACAAGACCATTTCAATGATCTACCAGAAGGGATACAAAAATAATAAGAAAAAGAAATGAAAGTCTAAAGTTCATTTTCCTAATATCACAAAATGTACTTTTGAAAATACATGTATGTATTTAATTATTATAAAACATTCCTGAATTGAATGAAAATAATATTTTTTCATGTGTAATTAATTAAAGGATTACCACCTAATCCTGCATATCCTCATCAGTATTTACTCTTTAATATCTTCATAACTGAAATTGAGAATAGCAATATTAAAATAAATAATCCATAAATTTTCCACAGATTTTAAAAACAAAGTATATAGGACTGATATCTAACATATATAATAAATAATAATCATGTTTTTTTTTAATTTTCAACTTTGGAGAATGTTTATTTTTAATAATTACATTGTGTAATTGGTAGAATCCCTAAAAACATATAGTGTTAGGTATTTCAAGTTGATGCATAATTTCTGGGGCTAATAATTTTGCCACTGTTTGAACTTTTTTTTACATTTAAATATATCATTGATAAATACACCTAGAAATTATGTAAAATAGAACCAAAAAAATAACATTGCTAATCTAATAAAAATATACAAAATAGCAATTGAGTAATTGACATTTAAAGAAACTAGAGATCTACCGAACTGCTACTATAGAATTAGCTCAACCTTTAATATATTATTAAATCTAACCAGATTATATTTCGATGCTTTCCAATGGTGATTTCTTCAGTCAGAAAATCTGAGCACTAGGTAGTGAATTGCTGCTTACTTCTATTCTGTCTTTCATTGTCTATTATTATTATGAATAATAATATCTTTAACAATTTATGTCGGTAGTTTTAGAAAGCAAATATACAAGAGAATTTTATTATATAAATATATTTCTTATTTTTAGCCTTTGTGTATATATATATATATGCAAGATTCAAAAATACTAAGCTGCGTGTAATGGAATTAAAGAAGAAAAAAACATTTTTTATAGTCTTGTTTCTATTTGTTTACCTGCATTCTGGAGAGTCTCTATATTTTGGGGCCTAGTAGCAAGTTCTGCAACTGTCTGGACAAATTGTGTTCTGGCTCTTTGATATTGCTCAAAGACTGCAAAGAAGAAAGAAAGTAGAGTAAGTACATTTCAGTAACACTGCTCCACACAAACATCTTTGGAAGCACACCCAGAAAAAGACGTGTTGTGTGTCTCCCTTTGTTATGATCTATGCATGAAAAAGAACCACAAATTTCAGAAGATTAAATGTTACATAAAAAGGGAAGGCGCACCTTAAAATTGAGAAATAAATGATAGCATGGGGGTAGGCAAGAAGAAACAAGATATAGTATTTGCTTTATATAATTAAGTGGCTGTTATTTAAAATAATGAGCTCCAGCAACCGAGTCAAGAAACACAGTAAAAAAATGGGACTGACATTAAATATAACGAAGATCAAATTAGAGGCAACAAGACAAACAGCCACTTAGAACTGACAATGAATTATTGAATAGCTTCAACCTTTTAGGATTTATCAACAGTAAAGAAATGAGCAAACAAGAAATAACACTGTAGATTGATAAGATTGCATTGGAGTTTTTGGAAAAGATATTCAAATGCCAAAATATGTCAAAACCTACAAAGAGCAAAACTATGCAGGCAGTAGTTTTCTATGACAATAAACTGAAGAAATATTTGACTTCAGAGAATCGGAGCAGAATATTAATCTTTTGAACTTGTTTTGGAGAAACAAAACACCATATGACAACCAAAAGACCAGATCAATGAAAATTCTGGCTCAATTTGTTATATGGGGTTTCATTCAGAGTGACCGATATAATCATGCTCCAATCATATCCTGGACCCATCATGCATTACTTACATCTCCTGAGAAGCCCATAATGCTAAGAATGATGGAAGGAAAGAGGCTAACCAGAGGCAAGGTAATGTGTGCACTGTTGGAAGATCTACAGCACCAGGTTTGAATACAAAATAATAGAGTTGGAAGGGACTTAACCCTATACCATTTCAGACAAGTGACTGTCTCTTCTTAAAAGCTTTCAGTGATGAAGAGTGAAGAGGCAAGGCATTCCACTGATTGTTCTCAAAGATAAGAAGTTTCTTCTTAATTCTAGGTCACTTTTCTCCTTGGTTAGTTTCCATCCATTGTTTCTTGTCTTGCCTTCTGGTGCTTTGGAGAATATGTTTATCCCTTTTCTTTTTGGCAGACACTCAAATATTGATGAACACTGCTATCAATAGACATAGATAATCCTGGAGAAGGCCTAACTATATAGAGGGGTAGGAGTCAATATTGGTACATAATAAATATATGTAAACATGTATTCACACATATATAAATGAATATGATTACATCTTATATCATGTCATACATCATATTCTATTTAAAACTTTTGGGTGAGGACCCTAAAATCTAGAAAAATGCCTCTTAGACGCCTCTATAATTTGCTCCCAAATTATAATTTTTAATGTGCTAGGAGCAAAAGAGAATCAATCCATCAGAAGTGAAAGATGATTGGAGAGTTATAATACTGAGTATAATTTAATAAAATCAAATTTAGCTTTTGTCTTCCTTATCACTTTGAGGACAACCATCCAGGACACAACCTGGCATGAAAATAAATGGTGCACCTCAGAAGTATCTTACGTTCACATGCACATACAACACACGCACACACAAAACATACACACTTTTCAGGGTACTATAACTTAAAAACAATAACCCTGTGAAATCGGGGAGTCCAAACACTCCATATTTAAATACCTTGCAGGACCTGCCTCTGACTCATCCTTCCTGCTGAGAGTTCCCCCAAGTACGGTTTGGGGTGCCGGCTTTCGCGGTGTTGTTAGGATCTTTCGCCGCGGTCTTTCCCTACGGCTCTTTCCTCCTAAGATGTGGGTAGCGCCCCCGGACCAAACTTTAACAAGGCTCCTGCAGTTAGCAGCGCTGCCTTGCCCTCGGAGCCTTTTCAGTTTGGGCTGCGATGTGTATCCTTCTCCTTGGTAACCAAACGGAAGCAGGCGCCATCAAAGGGGCGGGAGAGAGCCTGCGGCCTGCGCCTCATTGTGACATCGCGACACCGCGCACCGGTTCTGGTCGTCGGCTGCGCCTAGGTCCGGGCCCCGTCCAAGAGGTGCGCGCGGTGCGATGGAAACTTGATGCAACGGCAGCCGCCGCGCCGAATCTTCCGAGCCTAGTTGGAAGCGGCGCGCGCGCGCTTTGCTTGCTGCGCTCCCTTCTTAAGACGAGCCTCAAGATACGGCGGAGAGCTGTAATTCTGCTCCTTTTTTCTGCTCCATTTCCCTTCGGGGTAAGTCCCGGAGAAGGCAAGCTTTGCGCTGTTGAAGTAACCAGCCCGAAAGACTCCATTCCACTCAAAAGTGCGTCAAGCATTCCTCTGGATGTGGTCTCTACAATTAGTACCTCTGACTTCTGATTCCACTTCTCGCAAGGCAGGCCTTTTGAAGGAACAAAATCTTGCTGAGTGTTTGGGCAAATAATTCTTCCACGCGAGAGATTGATGAAAAAGCAGCTGTTTGCATCATCTGCCGATGTTCTGTCTTCGCTTATATTAAGTGTTCCCTAAGATGACCACGGTTCCCAAGAACAAGAGTGCTCGACCTGCCTTACTTCTAATAGACTTAATAGGGCTTGCACTCTATAACCGCTTTCACTTCTGCTGAGATTTAACTACCCTTAAATTTTTAACTGTCAAGTTACATACATATAGTACAAATGTGCTTTTGTTCCTTAGGTTTATACATCTCTTTCTTCTAGCAGCTGAAAGGGCTAACACATTACACTTTTTCTCAAATGAAGTTCTCACAATTCAAAAAGTCATGGGCTAGGAGTGATTGGCCCCAAATCACCTATTCCTATTCAACACTTCTGCCACTATACCATGCTAGCTTAGTGTGACCCACCCTCCTTGCACTTATTTGATAAACTGTTATTCCACAAAGTAGCAGGAATTTTTTTTTTTAAAGTGGTTCTCTTTGTCCTTGCCTCCTCCCAATAAGAAATCCTTAATTTTCAGCATCCCTCTAGTGCTTAGGAAATAATACTCTGAGTAGCATCTTTTGGTCAGATTTTGGTTACCACAAGCTAACACATCTCTTTTCCTACAATCTTAGTGAAGGGAGGTCAAACATCTTCCCCCATTTGTAGCATATATGGAGATTAATATATTTTGAATAGAAATAAATAGGCACTTAAGACTCTTTTTCCAGTGTTACCTGTAGAAGGGGGGATTTTTCAAACTCTCACATTCTCACCACATTGCCTTTGAAACCAATAAACCCTAATAATAAATGAAGAAATTTTCCTTTTGCTTTAGTCAATAGCTGAAATCCAATAAGTTAATTTTTCTTCTGGTTTAGTCTAAACAAATGAAACATTTCCTTTTACATTGTGCACTAACAACAGTATGTATATCTGGCATATTCCCTTGGTTCCTTACATACACAAATCAGTAATCAGCCAAGATCCTCATCACAGGTTTCAGAATTACTGGTGTTGAGACAAAATGATCACTGACCATTACTGTCCCACTGTAATGTGAATTTCTCAGGTTTATATTTCTGGCAATCAAGTGAGCTGTTCTCTAACAGGATTGGATCTGTGGGGTTCTTAGCTCAAGACTCACAGGGCTGAAAAAATTGGCTGAGCAGGACTAAAACCCGACTCTTTAAGAAAAAAATAAAAGACAGTAATCTAAATTCCTTCATCCTAAATTCCTCATCCTGAAGCTACCAAAAGTCTTCAGGGTTTATCTGGGGATCTTAATTCCTATTCCTAGCAAATCCCAGTTATACTAGTATAGGAAAGCAAGACATAGAGCACTCAGATAAATTAAACATTTTTAAACATCTTTTCATTAAGGGTATTTTTCTTAGGGAAAGATTTAACATTGTGTATGAATTTAGTCGGCCAACAACAACCTACCGGAAGAGTCCCATTGAGGGTGATTTGCCATGTTTGGGGCAATTCCTTTTAACATATGTCATGCCGTGCATTTTTTATCACAAGCAGAGGTCACATCGTGTGGGTGATGAGACTTTCAAAAGGACCTTCACAAGTTCTTTGTGGCAACAACTGGGTTTGGCCAAGAAAAGATCTCACAGGCAGGTTACAGGCATGGCAGGAAGCAATTCATGGCTAAAACAAGCTTGTCTAAACCAAGAATCAATCATGAATGCTTGTTATCTGCTTCATAGACATCATTCCGGTCAAACTAATAGATGCCACTCAGAATGTTCAAATGATGCTGACATACCCCAGCTGAAGATGGACTAACTATGGAGATATGTACCTCCTCCACTTTGTCATTTGCTTATTCAATTTGTTCATTATTATGTGTTATACTTGCATCTTGGATGTAATGCACCTAAGGATTCCACCCCTTTTTAAATCCTTTATCTCTGAACGTGTTGGTAAAAACCATTGGGAGAAGGTGGACTTGATCCTCAGCATCTCTGGAAAAAGTCAAACATTTTAACCATTTCACTACACCAATTCTTCCTTTTAATTATAAAAACAATATGATGAATTGAATAAGACTTCTTATCTAGCTCATCTGGATTGTGGATTTATAATCCAATGTATCTGAAAGTCTCAAAAATAGAATACTGACATCAGGCACTTTATAGGACTTCAGAGGTGGGGACTTTTATCAGTCCCAGTTAAAGGAAACAATTAAATCAAGAGCCAAGTAAATCTTTTGCCAAGTAAATCACCGGCATATTTCACTCTTAAGTAGTCCATGGGCTAGTAGGTGTTCACTGTTAAAATCCAACAGTGGGAGATCCTATGCTTGGAAGTAAGATCCATTTTGCCCATCAGAAAAGGAAAACAACTTGGCTTCCTCTTTTTTCCTTATGACAGGCACACAAATATTTAGTTAGCATTTCACATGTACATTAAGCCTTCTTAAATATATTGAAATTAAAATGATGGGTCAACCTTTATTTCCCTCCCCACTGAATGTACAAAAATGAAAGGGATATGGGCTCATATAGCCTAGAGCATTTTGGTTTCAATATTACATAAACCATGCTTGCTGAATGCATAAGCTAAATCAAATCAACTACCTTTTGGCTCAGTGCAGTGAGCAAACCCAGCCTAGAGGAACTAGTGCAGATTGTATTTTCCATCCTTCTTTATGGAACACCAAGGAGTCCCTTTTCTCCTGGTACCGATACTGATTTCTTTTGCTCCTTAAAAAGCAGCATTGTGTTGCGTCTTTGGTACAGGAGAATTGTAATAGGCCAGAGCTAGCCTAAGGGGGAAATATTCCCAGAAAAGAACGAAGTGTAATGTTCTTTTCTCTTTAAGGATGCTGCTTTAAAGTGCCAATCCTTAACCAGATACAAGGCCTGCAACCTACCAGCACTCAGAGGGTCAAGTAAGGCTTTGCATGTGAAACTCAAAAGTTTGCGCAGTAAGGCAATTGCAGTTCTAAATCAACGCACTTGACTTTTCCCGGCTTTGAACCTGTGGCCGAGGAACTGCCTATTCCAAGTGAACGATACACTCTCGGCCACCATATTTTCCAAGCCACAGTCTCTGAGCAACCTGCAATTTTCTGCCAAGCGGGCAACAGAAGTCAAAACCGCCCATTTAACATAGGGCGGGGCGGGGGCTATAGCACGGCGTGCGAAAGACGCTGTGGGGCGGCGTGGCCACAGCTTCTGGGGACGCGTGGAGGATCGGCCGCCAGGAGATCCCCGAGGGGCCTGAGAAAAAAAGGAAAGAAACGCCCCCCCCCCCCGCAAAAGATCAAAGCATCACCCGACCACCGTGCAGCCTGCCCGTGTGCACAGCTACTTGGCAGAAATTCCAGTCCGGGGGGCTCTGGGGAAGTCTGCCTAGGATTTCGGCGGTAGCAATAAAAGTGCGCAATTTGGCCACGGTGCAGGGTTCCAGCCATGCGCGGTGGATTCTCTCTCTGGTTCTTAGAGGCCAGAGAAAAGCGCCGCTTTCCACCACCCTAGACTCAAAATAGCCTCAGGAAGGAGAACTTGAAGCAAGCAGAACAAAATAACCTTTGCTGCTGCTGTCTCCTCCAAAGCCTTTTCTTTTCTGCGGCTACGCGAATCAGCTATGACGCAGCTTAGTTACAGATTTAAAGGCCCACAGCCGCAAGACTAGTGTAACGTCACGCGGCATTCTCTGTGACGGGGAGTGCGCATGCGCAGCTTTGTGGCCGACTTCGCTTCCTCCAGAGCGCGGCTGATGCCAGGGCGCCCGCGAGCTTAGAGTGTTTTTAGTATTTATTTTTAAGCTGTGCCAAAGCCTCTATGGTTTCTTTTTTATGCGCATTGCTTTTCTTTCCTGGTTGCAGTTGAAAAGGCGTGTCCATTTGCGCTCGCACACGCATAGACTGGATTAAGATACTGAATTATGTTGTAGTTTGCTTAATAAAGTACCAGCGATTGATCTCATTTTTCGCATGCATGCACCCACATCTCCATCAGGCTATTTTGCACGTTACTGTATTTTCTTTCTGGGAGAGCAGCGTTATGCAGAATACTAAAACAAACAAAAAAATCATAAGCTAAAGAAATCAAAGGCATTAAGGAAGAAAATTAAATATCTCACTATTGCAATAAAATGTAAACTACAGATTGTGGAATAAATATAAAATAGGCTAAACCAAAACAATAAGCATCTCAGGGGAATGTTTGAACTCCAACTCATAACCCAATACTATAGAAGAACTTTTCTTCTGCACAGAAAGGTATTTCACGACATAACAGGCATCATAATATTAATAGCAAATTGCTTTTCAGTTAATCTGGTTGGAAATATTCTTACTTCTATGTAATATATCTGATTTCTAAGTAATAACTCGACCTGAGAACAGTCTATGCCCAATTTAGCATCAGTTACAAGTACAAAGATCCCATAAACATATATCTACAGCATATTCTCCAATGATCAATTATTTCAGTAAGGTCACATGCCATTATTTGAGAATCACTATACAATTAAAATGGAGTTGTCTTGTCTGCATAGCTGCAATGGATCCAGCCAAGTTAGCCTGCAAATTAGTGTGTTCTGAGCTGAGAAAAGTTCATTAATCTTAAATCCAAGAATTTCTCAACTGCTGTAGCAGGTGCAATCTAATTTGTTGGCCATGCCCTATTTCTCCTAGGGGACCAGTTAAAACTACACTTAATTCTATGCTAATATTGCTCATCGGGGACAACTATGTGTAGGACCCAAGCTCCTAGTAATCACCATAAGGCCCTTCTTCACTTTCACTTTACATCACCACCA